ACAAATTCAGGAATCGAATGGATTCATAACTTCGCAACGAATGATAAACTGGAAAGACAGCTCAGCGAAACGATCTGTTACGGGGAGTAAACCCGGGAGTACCTCGAGACTCATCGTATGCGTCGAGTGCATACAGCCTAACGCGATACGGAGACAATGGTAATGAATCCGTTACAGCTTCAAAATGTGTGTGTTTGTCGCCGATTGAAAAGAAACGCTACACCGTACTCTAAAACAGATATAATGGTTGTTCGGTACAACCTTATCAAGTCTTCCAGATGGGCTCCCCACCAAGTACCGGTGATAGTCCGGAAAAAAATTGATTCTTTGCTTGCATTTTTGAGCATTTTTGTTTTCTCCATGTGCATTTTGAACCAGACACCTACATACCTAAAAAAACTGCAAGGGACTGCTCTATGGGGTTGTACGCAATGGTGACGTAGGACTACGTGGTCTTATATAATAAATCTTATTTGTCAACTGTGCAGCAGGAGCTTGTGTTTTGTGTAGGAATAGGAATTTGAGCGGGGCACTCTCTGTTTATACTCTGTAGTATGATGCGCTTGACATAGATGGCCCACAGCGACTCACGAAGAGCTACTGATTCAGATCAATAGCGGTGCGGCTTCTTCCTCCTTCTATGGATGCTCATGTGGGCTCCAACTCGCTGCTTGCAGGCAGACTTTCGTTGTGTACTGGAGAACAATGTTCAACGCCACGTGCCGAAAGCACTGTTGCTGCCAGTGATGCCACAAATACAGATATGTAATAAGATTTTTTTTGATACAGATATCTGTATAAACAGATTATAAATTTTTGAGATTTTTCAAATAAAGGGAATATATTTTGTATTGTTTTTTTTTATATTTATTATTTCCGATCAATAATCGTTTCTTCTTTTTGAGCAGCTTGAATTCACTCTGAGCATCAAACCCAAATTGTATTTTTCACTTAATAAATTATTATTGTTTTAGCATCAAACGGACTTGGAATCTTTTGAATGGACTTTTGATGTTCAGATGTTCTGATTTCTCGTTGAAAGGGATATTAGTTTCCGTTTTCTATTTGTTTAATTAACCATGTCACATGGTGATAGATACGAAGGTTAATTAAACATATGTTTTATCAAATCGGTAAACAAGCCATTAAAGAAAACCCACAAAGTGGTCGATAACAGTTTGTGAGTCGAAGAGTCAACCGGATATTTTTATATTTGAAAAGCGTAATTACAGAAACAAAGTTGCATGCAATTCGACTAAACTTCCTGTAAAAGTTCTGTGTTATGTCCAATGTCCAACTAAGAAGTTTTTATAATCTCATACATTAAAAAATCGAATTCTAGGGAATTGTGATAGTTACTTCATTAACGATATTTTCACAGTTGGAAACAGATTTGTCTCTCACAACTGGATCTTAATGTTTTGTATTTTCAGACAGTAGAAGACATACAAACCACTTCAAACAATCAAGATTGTAGGATTTCAAGATTTTTAAAATAGAAAATTTTTTTAGAAAGCAAACTTTAGTAATTTTTTATGATTTTAAACATTGAACAAACTCCTTCTGAACCATGCATTTGCTCAATAGAGATTTACGTTAATCCGCACTGAGACCATAATATAGAAATTATACAGATTTTTGTCAGCCAGATACAAATTAAAATTTTTTTTTTTTGAAAAGTTTGGCTCTGTGTGTAAAAAATTGTTTTTACTTATAAGGGGCTGTTCATAAACTACGTAGACATATTTTACGGCATTGAGGGGGTGGGGGGGGGGGGGTGGGGTTGGCAATTATCCACAGCCCATACAAATTAAAAAAAATTATGGACAAATTATCTACGCAACTGTCTACGTAGTTAATTAACAGTCCCTAATTGTGGTTTGCTTAAAATTTATTTCCCGGAAAAAAAGTTATCGTCAAACTCCATGTCTTTTTCAGGTTGTTGTTAAGGGGGGAGGAGAGGTTGTTGTTAAGTGGGAGGGGGTTTTACATACACAATTTTCCAAGTCTCATTCCTCATTGTGGTGGTCATGGTCACGTGCCACGCCGTCCGAAGCGGTAATAAGCTGAATCATTAGTAGTAGTAAAATTATGTTTATTTCTGTTGATTATGGTAGTACATTGATTTATCATTTTAATTGATTAGCCTACTTGGCTCTTCATCTTTGTTTAATTGGATATTCTAATTTAATATTTGCGTTTTTCAACTAGTTTACAGAATATCCCTTTGGGGATGTGTTTTATTTGAATTGAAAAAATTGATAACCTACCTAACTACGAGTATAACTTAACCTAACGTGCTAGATCACGTATGATCTGATGATTTGATCTCAGACAGGTGTCTCTGAACCTTTCCAGGATGAATACTCTCCGTTTTTTCAATGTCTGAATTCCAGCCAGGAGGTGGATCTCAGAATTTCTAGTCGACGGGGGACTGTTTAGGGCCATCCTAAGGATCTTGTTCTGGATCCTTTGGAGTCTAAGGTGATGGCATTTTGCGCAACTCTCCCAGATTGGCATACCGTACTCGATTACAGGAAGCATGATTTTTTTTGTAGACAGCAAGCTTATTTTTCAGGGACAGGGTTGACTTCCTGTTGATAAGTGGATACAACGATCTTATCAAGATGTTGCACTTGGTTTTTGTTTTGTCAACGTGCTCCCTGAAAAGAAGCTTGCTGTCTAGTGTTAGCCCGAGGTACACGACCTCTTTGGACCATTCCACCACTGAGCCGTTCAGGCAGATCTTGTTATTTTCCGACGGAACAAGTCTAGGAGATTTAGAGTGTGGAAAGATAATGACCTGGGTCTTTGCCGCGTTGACACGGATCTTCCAGCTGTTGAAATATTCAGACAGGATGTCCAGGCCTCTCTGAAGTTTGGCAGTCAGAGCTCCGATGACTCTACCCTTGTAGACGATGGATGTGTCATCTGCGAACAGAGACAACGATCCCCCATCAGGGAGAGCCGTAATATCGGAGGTGAACAGATTGAATAGAATGGGGCCAAGGATGCTTCCTTGTGGAACTCCGGCACCGATGTTGAAAGCATCCGATGTGATGCTATTCAGAGAGACTCGGAACGTCCTGTCCGATAGATAGTTGCTTATCATCTTCACTAGGAAGATTGGAAGACCGTACTGCTGCAATTCGAACACCAGGCCATCATGCCAGACATTGTCAAACGCTTTTTCAACGTCCAACAACGCCATGGCAGATGTTTTCGAAACAGACTTGTTCCGTCTGAGAATGTTTGTTACTCGAGTCAGCTGGTGGACGGTCGAACGACCTTTCCGAAAACCAAACTGTTCCTCGAGTAACAAGTTGTTTTCATCGGCAGATGTTAGGAGCCGGTGGTACAGTGCTCTTTCGAACAGTTTTGATAACCCTGAGAGAAGGCTGATTAGTCGATAACTTGAAGGAGAGGACGGATCCTTCCCAGGTTTCCGGATGGGTATGACTTTAGCTGACTTCCAACACGAGGGGAAGTAGCCAAGTCTGAGGCACTGATTAAAAATCAGTGCCAAATGGTTGTAGAATCTGGAACTCAAGTGTTTGAGTTCCAGATTCAGGATGTTGTCGAAACTTGGGGCCTTCATGTTTTTAGATGATTTGATATAGGCCAACAGTTCGTCAGCCGTAATCTCGGATTCCTCTGGGGGAATGGGCCTAGGCTTGTTTTTAAGAATTTTTGTAAGTTTCCAGAAGGGCTTAGCACAATCTGGGAGAGAGCGGATCTTACTAGCAAAATCGTTATTTCTTAGATCCACCATCCTGGGCTGAATGATCTTTGTTAATCGATTACAATTGGTCTTCAAGTTAGGCAGGCCAGTACGCTGGTACTGCCTACGAATGGTGTTACTAGCACGTGTTGTTCTCTGGCCCGGGAAATCGCCTCCTCGATGGTTTGTAGACACCGGTCAACATTTTCCGACGTCCCCGGTTGGACCGGGTAGTGGTCCGAGCTCAGCTCCTTGAATGCCACAGGTTGCGAGACGTTGTGTCCCATGTTGCTTACGAAGATGTCGATGGTCGCATGTACCCCAGACCGACTCAACCGGGTGGGAGAGTCCGGGGCCAAGATGGTATAGCGGCCCTCTTGCAGGTCTTCATTGAGGATGGTGCCGTTTCTATTGCTCCGACCGTTGCCCCAAGCTTGATGTTTTGCGTTCAGATCGCCAGCGATGATAAACCCAGACAACCAGAATGCACGTATATTCAAAGTTGTTTCCACGATATACAAACATATATACAAACCAACAAATCGTATAGAATGCAAAGAAATGGCTTATACGTACAAAAGTGGAGGCCATATACGTGTAAATTTGAATTTAATTTTAAACGAGTAGATTTAACATCATATGCGATTTAATCTGTAATAACAAATTCACTTTGAAAAGTCTTACGATGTAATCCGATTTGATTTGTGATACAGTACGACGGAAAAATGAATCATCGCATATAGGTCGGAAATTTGTATTCTATACGATTTAACTTAAACATAATGCGATGTATGCCATTCTTATATGCGATTTTGACTTAAACTGTAGCAATTTACGACAATGTCTGCACATTGTTATTCGACTTATGGTTGTCTGGGAAGTTCCCGCTCCTCCGGGTGAGTTTGATGATGTCTTTGCGGAGGGCCACTGATGACCCGTCCCTGATGTTGGTTTGCTTGGGGCAGTAGGCCGTGACGATGGTGATTGGGCCAAGTGATGTGCTCACCTCCACTCCGATGGCTTCAATTGTTTTCAGCTGGAAGTTTGGTAGCAGCCGGCAACTGATGTTCCGTCTTGCAGCGATGGCCACTCCTCACCTCCAGAGCAGGTGCGATCAAGTCTGACGAGCCGGAAGTCGGGAAGGAATACGTTCAGTTCGGGCTTCAGATGCGTCTCGGTGATGATAGCAATGTCGACCTCCTTGGTGTTGAAGAAATCGAGCAGCTCTCTATGCTTGTTCGTCAGTGAGCAAGCGTTCCAATTTGCAATATTTACAGCTTCACGGTCCATACTTGGTGACGAGTGACAAGGCAGCATGAAGCTGTTCAGATCGAGTCATGCAGGTGCGCAGAATGACGATCACCTCTGCAACCAGCGTTACTAGTTCCTCTGATGTTAACGGAGATTCTTCAACTGAGTCACCTGAGGCAACACGGGCATACGATAGTCCAGGCGCCGAGGCAGAAGCTTGATTTGGCAGAGCTGCAGCAGCAGTGAGGCGATGCTGAGCTGAGGGGGCGGCTCGTTGACTGTTGTTGAGAGGTAGCGGTGGGAGATTTGGGACCAGACGACGAGGATGGATTGCCGGGTATTGTTCGTCGTCCGTGATGACTGGTGGTGCACGTTTATTTCGATGCCGGCCTGGCTGGTTGCTGGTAGCCACCTTCTTCCTCATGGTGATGAATTCCGTTCGCTTGGGACAGTCCCGAGTAGTGGCACGGTGAGTTCCGCCGCAATTCACGCACTTCGGGTCGGTGTCATCAGCTTGAGCACAGGTCGCCGTCGAGTGGGCCATAGCACACTTGTCGCAGCGTGGTTTCATATGACAGTTCTTCGTGCCATGGCCGAAGGAGAGGCAACTTGTGCATTGGGTCACATCACGGTGTTGCGGCTTGTAGTATTCCCAGTTGATAATGACCTGAAACAGGTCACGTATGTTGTTCTTGTGCGCAGAAACAGTTGGTCACGATAGTTGGTATTGGGCATAGACCGTCGATTCATTGGGTGGACTGCCTCTGGTTTCCGAGCCTCACCAGCTCATCTTTTACGGTAGCCGCGTCGTACGACGGCAGACCTCGTAAAACAACCTTCAATGGTTTCATCGAAGGCAAATCGTGAGTGTAAAACTCCACTGCCCTGTTCTTCAGCAGGTCACCGACCGACTTGTACTGCTGTAGGCTGGAGCACATGATCTTTGTTCCAACGCTACAGATTTTGAATCGCGGGAACAATTTGCGTTTTGCCAGCTCATCCCTAAGCTGGGCGACGTCCTTCATCGGGGTAAATAGCGGGGGAATATGCTCTTTTTTCTCCGAGCAACTCTGTAGCAGCCGATTTGCTGTGTCATCCGAAGCAGCGCTGGGATCCATTTGGGCCTTCTTGCTAGGGCCCTCCGATGCAGGAGCAGTAGTACGCTTGCGTACCATGCTTTGTTTATTGGCAAGTGCAATTAGACTTGGCAATGCGCCTGTCGATGACGGCACTTCCACGACGCGAACGTAGCAATAAAACGAACTAGAAAAACCTCGATAGCGAAGCGAACGAACGAACGAACTATACTGCTAGACGGTCTAGCAACAAATCATATAAGCAGAATCAGGAAAGCAGCACTGTTTTATAGCTTTTCAGGTTCAAGCAGAATGATGTGCAACCAAGTGGTATTCGTTTATGATGACTGGGTTTGTGGAAAACGTTTAGTTCATGAAAACAGTGATAAAATAATCATAAGCGAATTTTTCAAAAGTTTTTTGATTAAAAATTGGAAAAATGTTTATTTCAGCAGATTTGTTAAGTAATATCCTATCGATTGGCGTATTTGGATTTTAATTTCATTTATAAATGACAAAGTTACAAGCGTTCAAAACCTAACACGATTTCACTCAGCTTCATAGCCCAAGTAGACAAATTGTCTAAGGTATCATGTAATGGTCCTTGTAGGTCCGATGCTTTTGGTCCTATAACGGAAACTACGCCGTCATCTGCAAGTTACCTTAGCGAGCAATCTTCAGCAAGACAATCGTCAATGTCCTTTACGTTATGAGCCCTGGGGGAAGCTCATGTGACTGATTCGTGAAGTTGTCGAGTTTCCATGATAAAAGCTCATATATTTTGCTCAAAAAGTTGTTAAGAATTGGTGAAAGCCCACTATCGTGGAGTTTATCCGAACGGTCACAACCCCTTAATATCCAAAAATACTGAGCCCATTTGCTGTTGCATAATAGGCCAGTTGAATTTCAGTAGAAAGCAACGCAAGGCAGTCGTTCGTTCCCTTGCTCCTCCGAAATCCAAATTGCGTATCTGAGAGTAAGCCATTTGACTCGACCCACTTGTCCAGACGAAGAAGAATTATTTTCTCCAACAACTTCCGAATGCAGAAAAGCATCGCGATGGGACGGGTTTCTGAGTGGCAATAACTCTCACTTGCTTCCAATCATCCGGAACAACGTTGTGCTCCAGAAATTGATTGAACAAGTTCAACAAGCGCCTCTGGAAGGTTTTTGAGAAAGTTGAACTTGATTCTATCCATTCCCGGAGCTGTATTGTTGCATGAAAGGAGAGCAAGTGAGAAGTCAACCATGGAAAAAAGAGAGTCAATTTCGGAGTAGTTTTGAACTGGCACTAAATCAGGACAAACTTTACGCACGAATTCAAAAATCCTTGACATGAAAGTATAGAAAACCTGTTAAAATACTGAATTGCCAAGGCAGAAACAATGTAAACACACTTAGCTATGTATCATAACAATTAAGGCGGGTAAGCTACTGTAGTAGCTGGAGCACCTGGACTAAAATGAAATGTAATTTAATTTGAATTTGGATCAAATAGAGAGATAAACAAGCGGCTCAAGTACGTGAATGATGAGGTTCTAGAATTATGAAAGATACAACAAAATAGAGAGGAGAAGGAACAGAAGAACTGCAATCAAGTCACCGCCCAAGGAGAGGGACTCATAACAAAATGAATTCTTAATAATTTTTTGTATTAATTGTTACTCGGCTCCGGCTGAGTTGTATTGATGACATTTGAGCCTGTTAAATAAACGAATTGGAAAAAAAGGTCCGATTTAGGTGTGTTTGAATGTTCACAATCTTGAAAGTCGTTTATCCCTGTAAAAAAATATATTAATTGGGATTTTAGGGTGCCCCGGAAGTTCAATATTTTAACATGCATTTATCTCCGTAAATAAGACATTTTTTTTATGCAAATAAAAACACTGTTTAATAGCATTTAGTCATGCAGATAAAGGAGATCGTCGATTGGTAATGAAGCCATGGATAGCTTCTATAAAAAATAACTACTCCATCAACATAAGCATTTCCGGGAACAACTTTTCGATTATAGAAAATAATGGTTCACAAATCTATTCGCCTAGCGGTACTGGTGGTGTCGTGGTAAGCGTGATTGCTTCTCACCTCAGCAAGCCTGGGTTCAATGCCAGTCGGCGCCGCCTGGATATTCTGAGGCATAAAATCTCTGATCACGCCTTCCTTCGGAAGGGAAGTAAAGCCGTTGGTCCCTTTTTCATGAGTTGATGGGTCGATAGGTAGGGTCCGGGTCTGGGAACTGCCTCCCTGGCGTCGGAAAACAAGATCGACGGAATCAAGTAAAAAAAAATCTAACCGCCTCACAAAAACCTCAGCATCAATTCACACGCGATTGGAAAATCGCTTCTTGAGCCTGAGGGAACCTTCTCCATTGCAAGTGGTATCGTTAAATTTCGACCATCAACCATGGAGCCAACAAAAACGACCACCGGTGGTGGAGCCGGACCCGGACTGGATGATGGTGGTGCAGCCATAAAATCAAGACCCTTCCAATGCAGTGTATCAACGACGATACTTGGTGGGTTGTAAAATTGAGTGGTCTGTGGGATTTCTCGAGCGCGCGTGGCTGCTTTTTCTCGTGCTTCGGTCGGTCGTCCCTTGGGGAAAAGGAAAATCTTTGCGAAACCGTCATAACACAAGCAACACAGATAGCATGGAGGATAAAAGAAGGAAAGGCAAAAACTTTGATAATCCCAAATGCTGCACGTTGTGTGTTACGACGTATGGGCCTGGGATGGGGAACGACTGACAACGCCGTCGGTTGGATGTTTTACATAACAAGTGTAACGGGGCTGCTAACAACGAATTGGGAAAGTTCAGTAAACCCATGGCTATTCCTTTAATGGTTATAGCGATCTTTTTTTTTCCATTTCTTGTTGAGCATCCATGTTATACATAAGTAACGGTTTTGCAGACAACGTTTCAGAGTTTGCTTCCCCTGGTGGCGTAAAAGAAGTCAGAGGTCCTTTTCTGAGCAAAAGTTCGATGTTCATTGTAAATTGAATGTATCCCCAAGCAGCCCGGATGACATATAAATGCTAAAACGGTTGAATGACGAATCAAGTAGAAATGTTACGACCTGTGCGAGTAGGATTCCCACTACTCATCATCCTGTATCATGATTATGCGGTTTGGAGTCTCCTTGACCCGAATCTGAACGAATGACAGAACGCGGTCTGTCTATTCCCCGAAGGGGTTGTAAAATCCTGAAGAGAGCTGAGCCGCATTTTCCACGAACAACCATGAAACTTTATTGACACATTATCGGACGTTCCTTCGGCCAATGACGAGGGATCACTTTCCATTGAAAACACATTACAATTATCTTACTGTTTTCTGTGTGCCCTCTCACCGCCGGCGCGCAGTGCGGTGACCATCGGGCACGCAATATTTACACAGTCATTTCGGAAACGAGGTAGCCCTTCAATCATCTTCGTACAGTAAACAGAGAAAAGAAGTAGGCAGTCAAGTGGAGGAGAAACCCTTTTCGGAATGAGCGTACCGCTTTTGTCCGGCGACCGATTATTCGTTTGTTCATCTTCATCATCCTGATGAGTGTTGGAATCGATTGTCCTGGATGGGCATGGGGAATCGGCAGCGAACGGATGGAGGAGCGGTGTAAATGATGAACTTAAATCGTTCTTTTATGGTCCCCTGGGGCGGATGGCTGTTCACTTGGTTTGGGGGCTTCCGAGTCTTATCAACCAACAGGCAAACTTGTGCTTCAAGGTGGTGGTGGGTGGGGACGTGACACAGTGGAAAGTGTCCTTGGCGTGATCAAAGTGCTTTCCTTCTGTGGCTTAGTGTAAATAGTTTCCAGTTTAGCTTGTCCGACTCGTTTCCTTTCTTCCGGGCCGCCACAAAACCGAGCAATTCATTGTTCACTTTTACCTAATTGGTTGGCAACAGTGTTGCCAGTCTAAAGGGGGGGGGGGGGGTTGGCTTATGTATGACCGAACCGTTTACTGGTTATGTGTATGTGCTTCTATATAAGTTGCCTGAAGCGTTTGTCTCGGACTTATAAAGATGATGAGTATTGATTTAATTATTTTCGCTTTTTATACTGATCATCATCATCAATTCAGGTAAACTTTAAAAATAAACCCCGTTTTTGGTGCACACATTCTTGAATGCCTTAATTATTTGGTTTGGATCCAGTTTCAATCTGCGATCCAGCATTAACATAGAATCTAATCCTAGTAGATAGGCCTTTTAATTATTAAAAGTTTAGCTGTTTAGCGGCGCCAGTGGTGTAGTGGTAAACATGATTGCCTTTCACTCAAAAGGGCCTGAGTTCAATCCACAATGGCACCGCCGGGGGGGAAGTAAAGCCGTTGGTTCCCGGTCCATGAGTTGATGGGTCGATAGGTAGGATCCAGCAGTTGTGTGAGCTGTTTTTCTGGCGTCGATATCATTGGTACACCCGCTTACAATTATGTGGGATTCATCATCAGAGGATGTAAGTGGAGACCGCATGAACCGAGGATGTGATATAGGGGAAATGACGGCTTCGGCATGCCAGACTATTTTCGGCAACCCAAATTGAAACACTATTTTCACTGGATTTTCTTACGAAAACACTTCGCTGAATGCATGCAAACGATTCTTTATGCTTTCAGCTTCAATTTGACTATATTTTTACCACTGAGAAAAAGCAATCTAGCAAGGTTTTCTTGAAATGAAACACACGCACTATAAATTGTAGCTGATTTCGAGTTGCCGATAATAGAACAGCAGATTTACATGCAGTTCAAATGGAACGGTTGCCGAAGAAAAACTGGTTGCCGACAATACTCGCTCTCACTAGAGAAGATTGGAGCTTTGTAAAAGCGTTTCAAAACAGTTTTTGACAATTCTTTCGACTGAAATTGTTAGAACAGCTGGTAGCAAAAGATTGTAAACAAACCAATACTGCATATGTGTTCGTTCCTTAGATAAAAAGGCTATAGAAAGAAGGTCGCTGCTTAGGTTGCCGAGAATACGTAAATTCCCCTACCTAGCTGCGGTCCGATGTAAGAAAATTGGAGACCGAAAAATGTGGAGTGTATTAGTGAGTGAAATTAATTATGTCGAAAAAAATAGAAAAAAGGTTGCCGACTGGACTCGAACCACGGACGTTGCGACTATCAGACCTGCGCTTTCTCCACTGCTCTCTCCAATGCTCTCTCCATGCTTCTGAATATGGTTAGCCTAAAAGCAAACATGAAGCTCTCATTTTCTCGCATGCTCGACTTCGTATGCTTTTTCTGCTGGCGAGATTCGAGACAAGTGTGTGCGTCGTTCTACTATGTTCTACAATGTGCGTCGTTCTACAAGCTTACTGGTATAGTCGAAAGCGTAGATGGAACACGAAATAAAAAAAGACAAAAAACTATTACATCGCCTGCATGGTCAATTCCTAACATTCGTTGCGATGTTCATGAACAGAGGATGATAGGAACTGGAACTAACATTCATTGTAATAGATTTTTGGTTTGCGTGTACCGTCCCAATGACGCGTTCATATATATAAAATTGATAAATAGCAGATTTTGAGCGATGGGCCCAATCTTAGATCCATAGCCCAATCAGGGAATCAAAAAAATGTTATCTTCCGATGCTTACCGACGATAAAAATACTAGTTAACGGAACCATGATCAGTGTACAGTAAGATCATGGATTATCATTTGTGTTACACATCATGATCAGCAACAAAAACGATAATCTACTGATATGATAACAATCACTTTGTAATGTATCTCAAAATCTAGGAACTTGCTGTCTTCGGAAAAGTTGTTCTAGAGGTCAAATACCCTTCAATATGGATATTTTTGGAATCGAGATGACACATATATTTTGAGAATCAATGTAGGTCGCCATTTTGAAATCCGTCATCTCAGCCGTTGGTTTCGAAAAAAAAAAACTGTCAAATACCCTACAATATGGGTATTTCTGGAACTGGAATAATGTGTAGATGTTGAAAATCGATGTCAACCGCCATTTTGGAATCCAATTTGGCGGCCTTTGGTTTTAAATAGAACTGACAAATACTCTAGTCAACCACATTCAGGCCGACATCAATTTTAGACATCTACACGTCATACCGGTTTCAAAAATGCACACATTGTAGGGAAAAGTTGTTTCTAAAATCAATAGCCGCCATCTTGGATTCCCAAATAGTTTTCTAAATCTGCATGCTATCCCTGTTCCGAAAATACCCACATTGCAGGGTAATCTTACATTTCGAAATGGTGGCGGACATCAATTCTCGACAGTTTTTCTTAAATCGAGGGCCACCATCTTGGATTTCATAATGGCGGCAAACATCGATTTTCGATCTCTATACGTCATCCTCATTCCGAAAATTCACATATTATAGGGCATTTGATAAGCCTTGTCTTAAATGGGGAATTTTCAGAGACGAGAGCTGATGATGATGATCTGAGATTATCGCTATTTCATATGATCATGATCTGTTACACAAATGATAATCGCATTATCGTTTCCAGAACTGTCCATTGTAATTTATGGATTTGTACTAATCATGAGTGTAACCAAAATGAGAATGCCATTATCTTTATCTGAATCGTTAATTTTGATTCCCTGAGCCCAATATTAGAGCCTATTTACTGCTCGTACTAACTTATATTTTTTATTATTTTTGCAGGGTTTTTGGTGAATCCCAGGAGCTAAATTTGGCTGCAAGCGTACTCTAAGAAGATGGAACTCATATGAAGTGAGTATAGTGCATTAGATATATTTAATAGGTTTATTTACAAATTTTAAAGCTTATAAGGTATAATTATAATGCAAGGTTCCCAAGGTTATATTGAGAAATATGTTGAGGTTGTATGGCAGCGTTGATTATGGATTTTTCTTTCTTTACAACACAATCATAACACATAAGAATAAAAAAAAATCCCATGCATAATTTAATAGGATTTATAACCATAATTAAGACATCAAGAGCCTGACGTTGTGTATTATGTTGATTAAACCGTGAGTAATGGTTTTTGCTGGTAGAAAACCTTATTTAAATTGGGATAAATTGAAAAAGCACTTGAGTTGTTACTTGGGTTGCATTGGCCTTGAAAGATATTTTGTGTGTGTGTTCTAGTGCAGCTCCACTAAAACCATATCCCTACTATCTCCTGAATTGGTTACTTTGGGTGCTCATGTACTTCTTATAAAAAGTGTTCGCAGTTAAATTGCATCACTTAGAAGTACTCGACAAAAATAAGTCTCTCAACCGATTGCCATGACATTTGCAGGGAATTTAATACTATATATATAAGCTTGGTTTGCGTATCTTTATCTCACTGTATTTCTTCACCAAATCAAAGCATTCTTCTTAATTCCACCCATAAGATTTTGTGCAACGGTTGAATCGACATTTTGTGATTTATTATAGGCCAGTATCTTTCAGTCGGCCGTAGCTCCGGTGTGTTTAGGGGATTGAGATCCTTTGGCACGAAATTTACCCCATTTGTCTTGAACCACTCCAGAACGTTCTTGGAGTAGTGACAAGAGGCTAGATCCGGCCAAAATATTTTAGGAACGTTGTTTGATTTGAGAAACGGAAGCAGTTGTTTCTTCAAACACTCATTCATGTAGGCTTGGCCATTTACGGTTGTAGTTGTTACGAAAGGCTTGCTCCGTTTTCTGCATAAACTAATTGCCCGATAATCATGAATTTTTTAGGAAACTTCGGAACTTGCTGTTTGCTGAGGTACTCTGGAACATCGATTTTTTGTTTCGGAATAGTTGGGTTTGCATCTGAAGACAGAAACCACTCCACAGTGGTTCCTGGCTGGCCAAAACCTCAAAAATTAAAGTTGATATATTTTTATTTCAATATTTTTTTTATTATTTTTACATTTTAAGAGTATCTTAAATTGAATGATTTGTGCAGTTTTGTTGATTAAATAATTTTTTATGGCTGTTATAGTGTAGAGATATCAAAAATTTAAAAAAAATCGTAAAGTTTCTTGTTACTGTTTTGCTCAAATATAGCAAAAAATAATGTGTTTATAAACTTGGTTGCTTGAGAAGAAATGTTTCTCGGCTTATTTCACGTCAAATGGATGGTAAAAAAGAGTGTTTTTAGTGACAGTTTCTGATATAAAAATTAGCAAAAAAAATTTTTTTACAATTTAGGCTACCAAAACATATGACGGACACATTCGCCCACTATCATTTAGTAATCAAAAGATAGCTAGAAAAGTTAACTTTCAGATAGGTTTTAATGTGTTTTGCGATTTTTGGCGAAACATGTTGAAATTAGGAATAACAAGTAAAGTGTTCTTTGAAAATATCTGTTTCTAAGTTATATAATCTGTGGTGTATACCGTTGCAAGCTTCACAATGCCTTTTTCAAAGCACACCAATACGCACACACATACAGACACGCATCATATAGCTATCTCTTATGGTTCATGAGTTATGATTTTTTTAAACAAGCAGGTTAGGGTGGCCCCTAGACAATCGGCATTTTTTAAATATCTCTTTATACGTTCATTTCTCGTGAAATTTTTATGCCATATACTTTAAGAACTTTTATGACGCATATTTTTGCTAAGTTGTTATCTCTTTTATTTGAAAAGTTATGACTAGCCAGGTAACAAATTGATGCTTAACAAGAGTTGATTAATCGATTTCAATTTAGCCTTAGATTGAATAATTGCTGTACGTTAACCTTTGTCCAGCTTTTAAACATCTAAATCTGGTGATTTTAATCAGCCAAAAGCTTAACAGTATTATACATTATAAGCTTTTTAAGGTTTTAAATAACAGGCTTTTTCAACCCTTGTTCAGCCTTCTAGTTTTATTTCAAAAATTATAATGGAAGACCGCTTAATATCTCATGCATTTATATGGAACTGCTTCAACTTGTTGCTGACTAATTGGATGTGTATACTTAAATTGTTAATATAGGTCAAAAAATTACCTTTGCATTTTGGGATTCGAACCGGCAGTCGCTGATTCATAGGCGTCAACCATACCTACTGGACCATTTAGGCATATGTGTGGTAAAAGGTATGATCATTAACTTGAAGCACGTCAAATTTAAGTTGAATAACAGCACCCGGAGAGTATTATACAACAATGCAGAATTGTAAGCAACAACTGGTGACAGTTAAACCACAGACAAACAGACATAACACATTGAATATTGTTTAACATAAAACATCGTCAGTAAAACACTACCGCCATCTGTTGAGTATACTGTGATGGGTAGTACGCTGAACAGATGGCGGTAGTGTGTAAACGTCAAACGCAAGGGTTATTGACTGTGTGCGCCACAGGCGCGGTACTACCAACTAAAAACATTTAAATTGGCCGTTAAATGCGTGTTCGATGAACAAATTGTCAGTGTTATGTCTGTTTGTCTGTGGTTAAACAATCCACTCATTTTCAAGTGCACTTAACACAATGTGGACACAACCCAACAAACATTGAAAGCTGAATAAGAGTTTGTTCATGCAAAATTAAGCTTTTTCAGCAATTTGTTAGCTTATTAAGCTTTTAATCAGTTCAAATTGTTTGTTGGGAAGCACGCGATTTATTTTGATGGGCATTTGGATGCTATTTTGGTGCCATAATTGAGTAATATTTTTGGAATGCGGTCTGAAAATTCAGTACAATATAAAGTGGTGAACTGTCAAAACACAGAAGTACAAATGTTAATACTTCCGACGTCCTCGCAGACCACTTCTATCTGGAGCTATTCCTAAAAATCTCCTTTTCCTTGACTCTCCTGCTGCGACTGCCTGTAATTAGAAACGTAGGCAGTGAATTTAGTAGAACTAAAATGCCGGACATTCAACAAGTGACACAGACACTAACGACATTTAACAAATCAAGCTATCAAAATATGTGAAACGCATTGCTGATTTGTGGAGTTGTGTTAAGCTTAAATAAGGCTTGTTCAATCTTTGGATCAGCTAACCTATTGAGTTTGGATTTATGGGGATACAATTCGCTTCATGCACTACTAATCAACTATATGTTCAGCCTGATGTTAATCAGCTTTGTACACCTTAAATCAACCAATAATCAGCTTCTGTTCTTAATGTTCAGCTTGTATTGTTACTTGGGTAGTTTTGTTGAAAAATATTACTTTTTTTAAATTTAATTAAATGCTTTAAACATAAAAAGCTCTTGCAGTTTTTTTTACCAAAAATAAAAAAAAAACGATGTTTCCAATGAAGTTGAATGTTTGAAAATCGGTTTGCTCCATTTTGAGATATTGACAATTGAAAAGAGTCATTTTTTCGAAAAAAAAATAGCCTTTAACTTTCTAATCAAAAACGATAGTAACCTAGTTGCGAGCAAAAATATGCGTCATCAAAAGTTCTAAGTGTAATCAGAACAATGTTTTTGCAAGAAATTAACGCATGAAAAGATATTCAAAGAAAATCGACTTTAGTGGCCACCCTAGCCTGCTTGTTTAAAAAATCATAACTTATGAACCATAAGAGATAAAAACGTTGCATCTTCTACAAAGTTGCTTTGAATTTAATGTTCTACAACTATTTAGAACACTGCTTCGGTCTATCTCAAATAATAAATAGTTTGTATTTTTAATTCTCCAAACCACCCTAATTTTACGAACATAAAAAGATTGAACAAAAAATATGAAGCAACTTTGCCTAGGAAACCATATACCTAAAACTGACAGTTTGGCGCAAACATTTTTGTGTTCCTAGGTAAATACGGCTGGGACCATTGTGCATTGGTTTTGGTTCTACTATACTCTTTTTTGTGACGTCTTGATTGTCAAGTTTTCTTCGTACAGCTAAAAAACATCTATTTCAACTGTTTTTTGCCTATCAGCAACAATTTTGAGGTTTTGGCCAACTTTTGTTCTAAGGAGAACCACTGTGCACTCGCTTGTGATCTTTAGCGCAGTACGGAACACTTTTTTCTTGCACTCACTTGCTTCCGATCGACAGCCAAACGTTCTCCGAAACCATCCCAAGTAACAAAAAGTTCTGATAAAAGGTAATTGATTCTGGTTGGACCTATCCAAAAACTGATGATGGTTGGACCTATTTTTTCAATCGCTAGTTTAGTCAATCTTCGCTAATTTTTTATTTTCAAAGATCACTTTACTATCATAAAAAACTCATTTTCTTCAATTTGCATAGGTGTTTTATTGAAAAAAAAAAAACTTCAAAACAATTGAGTTTCAATGTGTTTTCAAAACAGTTCACTTTCCACGCATTAGCTCGTCATCATGCCTTACTTTCAAACATACAATAAGGAATATTTTTTACATTTATTTTTATTTTCATGCAGTAAAATACTGCTTTAAGGTGTAAACAACACGTTAGTACGCCATTTATCTATTGGTTTCACTAAAATGTTTGAATAATTGACGAAATTCGAATAGATAAATATGATCATGGTTGGACCTACGCATGATGATGGTTGGACCTATGTGTTTCCTAAGACGGCCGCTAGGTGCGCTTCTGTTTGTCTACATCCTTCATGCGCAGCTGATTTGAAATTCGATTTCGTTTTGGCCGAGTGATCAGTTTCTTCGATTGAAAAAAATAGCTAAAGAAAAGAGTTATACGGTCGAAAATCTTCAAGAGTTTTTTCTTTTAGTAAGAAATAAATCACTTACCGCGTATCAGGCACAGAAAAGGTACAATATTCCGAAAACGACACTTCACGCAAAACAGCTAGCGGATTGGGTTTGTATGTGCGCTGCTTCTGGCAGTCTCAAGA